TTTGGCAACTCCGTACTAATGCCCACTTTGACCGCTAGGAACCTCGGCGTCACACTTGACAGCCGACTCTCCCTGACTCCCAACATCACCGCGACAACGCGATCCTGTAGATACACGCTCTACAACATCAGGAGAACACGTCCCCTTCTCACTCAGAAGGCTGCCCAGGTACTGATTCAGGCTCTTGTCATCTCCCGCCAGGACTACTCCCTCCTGCAGGTCTCCTGCTACCACCATTCCACCTCTGCAGCTCATCCAGAATGCAGCAGCTCGCCTGGTCTTCAACCTTCCTAAGTTCTCCCACACTACTCCACTCCTCCGCTCTCTTCACTGGTACCGGTGGCTGCCCGCATCCAGTTCTAAACATTGGTGCTCACGTACCATGCTGTAAATGGATCGGGTCCAGCTAACATCCAGGGCATGGTCAAACCCTACATCCCAACCCGCACTCTCCGCTCTGCATGTGATAAACTGCTTGTTCCTCCTCACTGGGAGCAAAATACTCGACTAGATCACCACTCTTTGCTGTCCTGCTCCTAAATGGTCTTCAGACTAAAGACACACCTCTTCAGACTCTACCTCCACTAACACACTAACTGTAGCACTTACATTGGACTTATTACGCCACTCATCTACAGCAAATTGTAAATTGGCTTATTTGAGGAAATTGCACTTTCTTGTTTCTTGTTCTCCTGAGTTTGTACCCTATGGTTGAAATGCACTTATTGTAAGTCGCTTTGGATAAAAGCGTCAGCTAAATGACATGTAATGTAATGTGATGTAATAACAAAACACTACCTTAGTAGTTATTGCGTTTAAAACCAGTTTGCACATGCATTTTAAACAAGGAGCATCGGTAAACTCCAACCCTGAAGGGGGCAGAGAACTAAAGAGAAGTGGAACCCTAAAATACAACCCATATTTCTGGAGGGACCGAGTCACCATCGCGTCCCTCATCAGGCAAGAGTATAAAATGTTTAGGTATTAGCTTAGCCGCCCTCTCTCAGCCGCTCATGTTCGACCACAGACGCAACTGCTATGGATTTTATTCATTTCAAATATTGTTTGAAGCAATAGTTTGTTTGCCATTTTCTGTTGATTTTGATCTTTTACCCGTAAAAGGAAAAGTAGAAGTTTAAATTGTAATGGAAATACTTCTTGAATTGGATTTGCTTGTGTATTTACTTAATGTGGTAAAGAATGGTGTTTAATGATGAATTATTATTTTGGAAAGTCTTTGATGTAGAATTTAGTCTACTATTTTTGTTTTAAGGTTATCAAGCTATTCCGGTTCCCACAACCATTCCGATTGAAAATAAAAGACCAAAACAGATCCGAGTTGTCCCCATGTGATATTTGGGTTAAACAAGCCATTTTCAAGTTTGGGCCGAGATGGATATAATTAACACCTGGAGAACTTGACAGTAGTGATTATGTTGCTTTTAAAAAGGTTGTTTCACTCACATTTCACAGGGATCAAGATGAAGTCAGACGTCTTCCTCCCCAATTGGTTCTCAGCTGTACAGGAATACCTTCCAGAGTCAGAGGACTGGATGGAGCTGAAGACCAGCTGAGGTTCTTTACTGAGAAGATGAGGGTCTGAAGTTCCATCCTCCTTGTACCAGGTGAAGTTAGCTGCTGGGTTAGCATCAGTGCTACAGGTCAGAGTCACTGAACCGCCCTCCAGCATCTCAGCAGAGGGACTCACTGACACAGAGGGACGCTGTGGACCATCTGGAGGAGACGTGTCAACATATTGTTACAAGTTAGAGTTCAATAAATAGAAGTCCATAACAAAACACTACCTCAGTAGTGATTATGTTGCTTTTAAAAAGGTTGTTTCACTCACATTTTACGTCGATAGAGATGAAGTCAGACGTCTTCCTCCCCAGCTGGTTCTCAGCTGTACAGGAATAATTTCCAGAGTCAGAGGACTGGATGGAGCTGAAGACCAGATGAGGTTCTTTACTGAGAAGATGAGGGTCTGAAATTCGATGCGCCTTGTACCAGGTGTAGTTAGCTGCTGGGTTAGCATCAGTGCTACAGGTCAGAGTCACTGAACCGCCCTCCAGCATCTCAGCAGAGGGACTCACTGACACAGAGGGACGCTGTGGACCATCTGGAGGAGACGTGAATAAACATACTGAGAGGTTAGAAGATGTTAGCGTAGATAGTTGATCATTTGAATGAATACTTGTGTGTCTTTCTCTCAGACTATCTCTAGTATTCATCACAGCAGCTGTCACAGGTGAGACTCCTGCTGGTGTAAAGTGACAATAAGCAGCCCTTTAATCCTTTGTAATGTTCATATCTCCACACATTCTTCTCTTTAGATGCTGCTTGTGTCCTTAGCTGAGTCTGTCCTCTCACTTCTAGTTGTTGTAGGAGTTATTGATTGTTTCCTCCACCAGCTGACACGTCACTTCTACTTATGTTCTGGAATAATTCACTTGAGTCTTTATGAAAATCACATTATTCTGTCTGCTGATAGTTTATATTTGTGTTTCTATTAATAAGAGAATGACATAAATAAAGATCTGTGTCTCCTTTAACATTTAGACTCCAGCGTGTTTACAGCTGTGATTAGAATCATATTGTTGTGTCAGTGTGTGAGTGACTCTTCTACACGTAGACTGCAGGGGCCGGGGATTGAACCAGCAACCCTCTGGTCAGTGGACCACGGCTCCACCTCCTGAGGAACGTTGTGCTTCATCTTTTTGATGCCTCTAGTTTACATGCAGCGGTCTGGTGCCTCCATGTGAGATGTTGTTGAAGCTCCACAGACCGACACAGTGGAGTGAACTTACACACTGCAGGAGAACGTTGATTCCAAGATCCTCTTAAATTACAGGAATATCTGTCTGTAGAACCAGAGGAGACTGGAAGAGAAGATCCTGTCTTGATGTTCTCTTCATTCTTGTACCAGACGTATTC